GTGCGTAAAGTTGCCCCCAACTCCTCACTTTGACCAATTGCTTCCGGACAAAATTTTAAACATTTATAATTCTATTGTAAATTCAATCCCCAAATTTGTAAATTATCAGAAAACTTAGAAATCAAAATAAAACAGGAAGGTCAAGTTCACGTATAACCCCCTCCCCACTATGGCACTAAAATTCTATTTTTTTTTTTATTATTGGCATCTGATTCCTCTAGGTTAAACAAGTTTAGTGCACAATATGGATATATTATAGAAAAACATAACATATAACTATTATTTATATCAATAATTTAGTTGTACAGGATTTTTAGAATTTTATTTGGTATCATTTATTTATTTAGTAAAATATACATGATAGAGATAATTCTTTGACAATTTGAATGCCTTTCGCAGTCAAACCACTTTTCTGCTAGTCTTTTTTTCCATAATAAAAGTAATAACATTTAAAATTATTTAACTCCCAAAACCACGAAATGTAATTTAATTTTATATTTCTAATAACATTTGAATTGTTATATTCAAAATATGGGTGTCATGTGACTTTAGAAAAATAACTCTCCCAAATTATTTTTTATAAACTAGGACCATTATGATAAGCTTTCCTATAAGCTAAAAAAATCATACATTTCTTAAAATTACAACTGGAAAACTGATTTCTAGAAGTAATTAATCTAATTTAGAATTATATTAAATATAATTAATCAAAAAATGTTTGTTATTAATTAGAAAAATGTTAACAATTTTTTTTTTCATTTTTCCTACATCAAAAGTTATAATATTGTGATTTTTGTTACTCTCTAATCCAAATTTTCTCAATACTTCTAAGATCAAAACATAAATTATTCACTTTTTACAAAAATACTTATACAGTTAAATCATAAAGTTTTTTTTCAAGTTGTCCAGTTTTATAATTTTTTAATTTTATTATTTCGAATATGTATTAAGTTCAACAATTATACTGCCCAATAATTCAAAAATGTCTTATTACATTTTTTCAAATATTCTTAACTGTCTAATAGTTTTAAAATCAAAGTCAGGTAGGCTGTGTGAATTTATGCTCCTTTCCTCATTTTTTTCTGGACAATTTAATAGTTCATACAATTTTTAAATTAAATTAAAATTTATTTGCAACTGCTTATAATCTGGAAACAAGATTTCTTAGACAATATTAGGACGCGGTGTGAAATGAACGGCAACTACATAGAAATCATGATTTGAAAATAATCGTTTTGTAAACCCCATTGTTTTTCTTTGTTTTCTACATTTTCTGATAATTTACGAATACGGGTATTGAATTTACAATTATTTATAATGAATTTAAATAAATTGTTTACAATTTGTTCGGAAGCGATTGGCCAGATTTTCAAGTATAATACTTAGTCATTTTTTTGATTTTCCAAGGGTTTTCATAATAAACGGGAAAAAAGGGAAAATTTACGAAATACATTATTTTCAGTCTTATCTTTTGTTGTGATTTGGTCTAAAATATTCATCAGGGCTTTAAATTTGGACAAAAACCTTATATTTACTTTTCTAGACGTGGTAAAATGTTTAAAACATTTTAGTCATTTTTGAGCTATTTATAAACAGACCGTGTTTGTATTTTATATGTCTGTGGTTACAGATTAATATTTTTATAGTGGTTCTGGTTTTATAATCAGTTAAGTTCATGTATTATGATTGATATAAACAAAACATTAATCTCATGATACTACCACCGAACAATGATGAAAGTATTAACATATTTTCCCGGGTTAATGTTATTGTTATCAATCGTTTATAGTTAAAAATGTAGTAAGTTATAACTTTTTTTAGTAACGAATTACCTTGAAATTTTGTAATATGTAAATATAGTGTATTTTTTACGTATATCTGATCAAAATGAAACGAAATAATTAAACTAATTCATTTTATATTATATAATGTATATTAAATTATTTTTTTAAAAAAAAGTTTGTGCCTCCTACAAGAACTGATATAGAGAGTATTGAAGTTGATGGTTTAGGTGATGTAGACTAATTTAAATGCCTGAGCAATCTGATGAAAATTGTTGTAGCGGTAGATAGAGAAGTCCATAGAAAAATTATAATTATTGATCTCAGAGAAGTTCTTGATGTATTGACTCAAAAATTAAGAAAAATTGATATAATTTTGTAAATTCAATGTTTTAATCAAAATAATAATATATTATAATTTAATGTATGTCGGTTTCATATAAGAAAGGAGGTGTGGAGGCTTAGCGCCCAGGCTCATCTTTTAAGGAGTTGTCATACCCAAAACCCAATAAAAAAAAAAATCCTGAAAACACTTCTGCTACGCGTTACTTCTCATCAAATTTATTACCAACTGACAAGTAACAACTCTGCAGATTATCATTGATAGATACAGACTAATAATTTAGTTTACCACTGTTGTGTATTGTTTTATTGCGCCGTACAGCATACGAAAATAATATAGGTATACATATATGTATAGTTACTCTCGTCCTTGCGCCCCCACAAAAAGGACATTACATTACGTTATATTATTGTTATCATTATTATTATTATATTATGTTCGTAGATGATAATAATATAATAATATTCGGTGCAGCCGATGCGTATAGGTACGTCACGCGCGGATACGGATTGCGCCGGTCACGCGATCCCGACGACGGACGCCTCCCCGTACTGGATCGTGCTGCCGCTGTTGTGCGTATAATATTAATTTGCAAAACTCGTGTGCACAACGTCGACAACGGTGTAATGTATATTATAATCTATGTATATAACAATAACACCGGCAACGATGATGATGATGATGATAATAATAATAATAATAACGACAACAGCAACAGCAACAAAACAACAACAGGGAAAAGTCGAGTCGTTTAAAAAGCTTCTATATACAATAGCGAGAGCAGTCCCGGTGGGGAGGGTCGAACGCGTGTGCGCGAGCTATTAGAAATACGCGGCGGGTATAAATCACGGACGACCGAGTGCCGTTTTGTGCCGATCGTGCGACGTCCCGTTAAATTTACACACTGTAGTCAGCAGTGCAATGGTGCAACACCGGGGGGGTTACATTAGGGTAAGGTTAGATTCCTCGTTCTTCCCCCCTCAAAAAAAAATTAACATTTCCTTCCTAACAACTATAATATAGCTGTACCAGATTTTCGTTTTTTGTTTTGATTCTGACTACGTTTCGAAGAAACAATGCACCTTTTACAAGGATGTGTTTTCTCCTCGGAAACCATGCGGTATTTTTATTGTTAATAAAACCACTCCGAATTCTTCACATCGCACTTTAGAAGATGCGGATTTTTAGTTCGGCTGTGGTACTATGTTTGAAACATGTTTTTTTTTATATTAACACAAGATTCTTTAAAAAAATTTAAAAAAACCACATACGATCAAAATACTAAAGGCACCTTAACAGTTACCAGATTACCAAGTTCCACTCAAAATTATCACGTAAATACTGAGTATACACAATCAATATTATGGGATTAAAACCTACCTCCTCCACTCTACAAATACTACCTCCCCTCTACTATTTATTAGTGCCTATTTTTATTCGATTTTAAACGATATAAATATTAAACTATTTTTATTCCCTTATACGGTATCACGTTGTGCGCGTTTTATTCTCATTACTCCTGTAGGTAAATAATACTAATTAATAATATTGTTTATCACGCAATAACACTTAAAACAAGTTTTATTCACGGCTCCTTAAACCTCGTATTAGTGACGTTACATTGTTCAATTTTGTAACAAGTATAATATATAATAATTAGCTTAGTATAAACTTCACATTATTCTATTATCTATTCTATTATTATCTATGTTCATATATAATAAATCATGAACTTTCAAAAATCGCAAAGAACTGATAAATAAACGTTAAATTTAAAACCAGTGCTCCATTGAACAATTTTTTTTTCCAAATTTGATAGTGATAGCCTATCACTGGTATGATGTATACTTACACAACAATAGGTCAATTTTGATGTTTAATAATAAAAAATGATTAGTAAATATTTAAATAATAATAATAACAATATAATAATATTAATATAATTAATGAAAATATTTGGTTTTCAAAATTGAGGTAAACTTAACAATAAATATTACATAATAATATACAATATAAATACATTTATCGAATAAACCATCTAGCATTTTGCCGATTTCGTATTATACAATATACTATAATAATATACTTAACGTATATGTATGTATTGAAAATAATTGAAATGCTTTTGCGTGTTACAAATCATCAGATCCGCAAAAACTCGTATACCGATATTCCAAATTCATTCAATTATTGTTTGTGACCTAATTAGTTACATGCAATCTCAGGTGCACAATTCTCGCTCCCCTGAAGTAATGCCGTTTAGAAATTGTATCCCTGCAGACAATTTTTTTAGCTATATCACCGTCAAGAGAACGCCACACCTACATTTACTGTCTCCGTCTTACATAACGGGCGACATAGAAAATTTGGACCTAGTAGGACAAATTGTGTGTCATTATTTTTAATATTAGAGCAAATAGATTTATTACTAAACTTAAATGTAAGAAGATTATACATGCCCTAGCGTTGATGTTTTTTCGATATGTTAATCTTTAAGCAAGATACAATCATTTTTAAATTGTGATATTTATACGTATTCAGTTCGTATGTGGCGTCTGTAGCATGCACATTAGTTTTGCTAAGCTCCGCCGTTTTTATTCACCTACATTATATTTTACTTACATTTTTTGCGCCTAAAAGGTTCAATTAGTGTTAAAATGCATATTAAAGTATCAGTTACATCTTATTCATGCAAAACTTGTTCTTACATCAATATGTGAAGATTTTCTGATCTAAACGTAACGTTTTATTATTTTTGTTTTAATATTACACATTGCAATATCGTCGCTAGCGTTATTCGTTATCGCTCCAGTCACTTCGTCGTCTTATCGCGCGCCGCGCGCGGCGGTCTGTCGAGACTTTGACCCTTACCTGCAATGCCGCAATCTTCTTCACTCGCAATCAAGGACAAAGATAAAACTAATAATTTTAAATTATTTTCTACAAAGACATTTAACGGTGACTCCAGTAATCAACAGACAATCAAACTTAATAAAAATAAATCAACTGCTATGAACAGTATTCACGCCTTTGATAAAATGGACACTTCAAATAATGATAACTCGTCGTCGGGCGGATGGATTGCATCTACGAAAAATAAAACTAAAAGAATTCATTCAAATTCTTCCGATCAGAGTTCACCACGAACGCCAATAAATAAAAATAAAAAACTATTTTTTTCCACAAATCGGTATGAAGTATTATCGCAAGATGATCCTCCGTCCGCACCTCCGTCGTATGATAATAATTTAGCTCCTATTCAAAATCCCATAGATTCTATTAATGCCACACCAAAAGTTCTGCGACCACCCCCAATTTTTGTAAGAGGTTTATACAACTTTCCTGACCTGTGCACTAAGCTTATCGAGTTAATCGGAGTAGATAACTTTTATTGCAAATCATCGACAGATCGAGTGAAAATAATGACAACAAACCCTGAATCGTATAGATCCTTGGTCCACTTCCTGAGAGACCAAAAAGCGAAATTTCATACTTTTCAACTTAAAGAAGATAAACCAATACGGGTTGTGATTCGAAACCTCCATCCAACTACGCCAACTGAGCTAATTAAATCTGAGTTTGAAATGCGCCTATTTGAAGTTAGGCAAGTCTCAAGTGTTCTCAATAAAGTAAATAAACATCCATTACCCTTAATTTTTGTGGACCTTGAGCCAACTGATCAGTCCAACGACATCTACAATCTCACGTCATTACTTCACACGTTAATAAAAGAGCCATACAAGCCCAAAACTATTAACCAATGTTCAAACTGCCAAGAGTACGGGCACACTAAATCCTGTGCACACTGTGTCCGTTGTGGTGCTCAACACACGACGTCCGACTGCCCAAATCCCAGAGACGCCCCTCCCAAGTGCGCACTTTGTTCTGGAGACCATCCTTCAAATTACAAAGGCTGTTCGATCTACAGGGACCTTCAACGACGCAAAAAATCAAAGCCAAATCATCAAGTAGCTAATAATATTAATCCTAAAAATATACATGTACAAGAAACGCAACCAGTGAAAGCCACCTTGACACCATCCACTGTGAATTATACCTATGCCCAAGCTATTTCTAACTCCAACGCCAATAATACAATTCCTCCTCATCCAGATATTAATGTACTATTAGCGAATTTCATGAATGAGTTCAAACAATTAATAAATTCATTAATAACTCTTCTCACTAAAGTAGTCTCAAATCTTTTAGATAAAAAATAATGTCCTCCTCCACAAGCAACTCTATTTTAATTCTCCAATTTAATGCCAATGGTCTTAAAAATCACGTAAATAAATTGCAGCTAGTTCTTCAGGAAAAGCGCATAGACATTGCGCTAATTTTGGAAACTCATTTTACTAAACATTCCTACGTTCCCATTACTGGATATAATCTCTTTAAATCAAACCATCCGGACAATACAGCCCATGGAGGTGCTGCGATTTATATTAAGTCCTCCCTGCTGTATCAGTCACTTCCGAACTTCTGCCAACCCTATTTACAATCATGTGCCATACTTCTACATCTCAATAACATAACAACTACAATAGCAGCAATCTATTTCCCTCCAAGACATAATTTGAACATACAAAATTATGTTGATTATTTTAGTACCCTTAGTCATAATTTTATAATAGGAGGTGATTATAATGCTAAGCATATTAACTGGGGCTGTCATGCAAATAACCCCAGAGGTTTGGTACTTTATAATTATACAAATTTGAAAGGCTACAATATTCTAGCTCCACCAGAACCAACATACTGGCCTACTTCCCTACGTAAAAAGCCTGATATTTTTGTCTCCAATACACCATCCAACATATTCCTCACGACTGGAAACCTCCTTGAACCTACCTCGGATCACTTAGCTGTACTTTTAATAGCCAGTGCTTCTTAACCAATTCGCTCTTCACCACCTAAACTGTTCCAGCCGAATACCGATAGGTATAGATTTCACGATCTAGTTGATCAAAATATAGATATGAAGGTTAGTCTCAAATCAACTCAAGAAATTGATGACGCAATAAATAAGTTAACAAGGATAATTCAATCTGCAGCCTGGGAGGCTACACCTCCTCAAACGCAGTTTTTAAATAATTCCTTTTCAATTCCAGAACATATCCGCATCCTTATAGCTAATAAACGTAGAGCTAGGGCCCTGTATCAACGCTCTCGCCTTCCATCACATAAACAAAACTTTATTAGTCTGGCTAACTCTTTAAAAAAAATAATAGCTAAACACAAAAATCATATTCAAGTCAATTACCTTACTAATTTGTCACCAAATAAAAGTCTCTGGGATGCTACTAAAAAGTCTCCAAAAAACGCAGCACTAAACACCCCGTTAATTAAATCAGATGGCAGTCTTGCCTTCTCAGATACTGATAAAGCTGAAC